ATTGAATTACATACCAGTTCTTAAGCATTTGATTGGATACGTCCCGTGGCCTAAAATGTTTGGGTCTCCAAACATGTCCTCGTCGTTCACAACAAGCCGTAGAAATGCTAGATCTGGACAACTTATGTCGAAGTTAAATGACTGGTTCCACACGGGATTCAGACCGTTATCCGCTAATGTAATAAACATTATGTTCAAAGAGTTTATAAAATACAATCAATTGAGTCCAACATTTCCAATGACTTACGAATTGTATGTGTTTTATGTTTGTTGGCATCATATTCTGTGCCCACAATTTCCACCTCAATCCATGGGCTGATATAACCTCTTTTAGAATTAACGAGATGTCTGGCCCCCAATATCTGTATTATCATTAACATCAAGTCAACTTTGTCTCTGTTTAATAGTAATAATAAAATATCTTACTTTCACTGTCAGAGTCATTGGTTCCACATTTTTAAGTGTACTTCTGTTGTAAGGATTGAAATACTCGTCAAACATGATGTCACTCTTGAGGACATAACCGGATCGACCGTTTTGTCTAAACATTGCGCCATTCAAGTGCATAGCTTTATCGGGAGTCTGATAGTTAAGAGCCGCCATTTGGATGCCGTTTAACCACATCTTCATGGGATCGTAATTCGATGAATCTATTCGACCGCCTTTCGGGTAAATGCGAGTGAATTGAGTTTTATTATATTTGAGCAAAAATTGGCAGCTGTTTTGTGTCAACCATTTCTCTACTTTCGACTCAGGAAATGAAGACATTTCCGTGAAATTCCCGATTTCTAAATAAGTATACAATTATTCATTAAGTTCTCACAATTGAAATTTCTCATCAAGTGCTCACTTTCGGGGTCAAACTGAACGGCCCGACAATATACGATTAGATTTGAGAATTCTTGTGCTATTCGTAAGCTTTTCTCCATTTCTTGATTTTGTTTCATCTTTTAAACCAAACGAATATATAGTGATATAAATACACCAAATGCCGAGAAATATTACAAACCTTATCGTTAAAGAGTTGAGACGTCTCTCTAATCTTCGTAATCCATTCGACCATATCTTCTTCAGTTTGCGCTGAGATTTCTATTGGAGTGGTTTGTGTGGGAGAAACCACACTAAACACAT